GAACACTACAAAAAATAAAATCTAAATTAAGAATCATTCCGAGTATCTTTAAAGATTGAGAATAGTTTTTTTTTCTCCACTCTTTTCTTTTAGGGGATATATTATTGTGTAACGTTGATCGCACAATGTTACACAAAAAAATTAAAGCGAGAGAAAGAGATAAAGAGTGACTGCAGAGGTGGGGTTATGGTTAATTGTTATGCCTTCTTATTGATGTGTTTTCATTGATATCGCACGTATGATCGCTAATTATTTTATTCTCTTTCGGGTTTTTTGTCGTCCGCAGAGAAAAATATCCGCTAGAAAGGATACCTTTCTGACTCTTTTTATGCTGATTATTCTTAAGAACCACAACAAAACGGTACTACATGGTTATGGTTCTCAATATCGGGTAAACTCGATAGCTGGGTATTACGGTTTTCGATATCGGATAAATTTGACAACTGCGGATTATGAAGTCGCTGTAACGAGTAGGAAGCTTACAGCGGTCAATAAAGTAAGCATTTTTTCCTATTGTTGAAAAATCTTTTCATCATAAAATTGCCGTCGAGTTTACTCGATGTCGACAACCATATACCTTTTATGAAAAGAAAAGTTACCTGCTAGAGAAAAACTGCAGTCAGTCAAGGATTAAATTTGCAGTCGAGATTTATAAAGCTGCACAATTAAATTGAAAATTCTATCGTGAGCTCAAGTGTATGTATGTATGCCATTAAGTTGGCAGAAATTTTGCTAAAATTATTTGGAATACTTAATCAAGAGCTTACTGCCATTGCTTGCGCAACAATGAAAAAGTTTTTTTCTACTCAAAGATTTATTGGAAATTTCCCATTGTCCAACTGAAGCGATGATAGGAACTTAAACGATTTCTCAGGACACATTACTAGGAATATTTCTTCTACTAATAAAAAAAAAAAAAAACGTCTTCTTTTTAGGGTAATATTTTTTATACATATAAAACTTTTTATTAAAAAAAACAATTTTCACAATAAAGTTACTTTTCATTTAATGTTTCAAATGGCAAGTTAACAAACATAGTAAAAAAGGGAAACCAGCCATAAAAAGTAAAAACAAAACAAAACAAAAAATTTCATTACGATGAACAATATAATAATAGCAATAATAATAATAATAATAATAATAATAATAAAAAAGGGATTTCAAATATTACATACTAACATAACATGAATTAAACACTAAAAAAAAAAAAAAGAAAAGAAAACTTTAAGCAAAACATAAACTAAATCAAAGTTATAAACAACTGATGAAAACAAATACATGATATACTTAAAAAAAAAAAAAAAGAAAAAAAAAATACATTTATTTTTTTTTAATGCAAGCAAAATAGAACTTGATCACCACTCACATTTATAAGCAAATAAACTCAAACTTTATTATAGGATTAAGAAATCAGCTATTCTTCAAATCTCTACATCTCTATCTCAACGCTATAGCTATAGCATATGGTAAGGTGAAGGCAGATCAATCCTTCGCGAGCCCTGCACGAAACAATTTTAATAAAGATCTTTCGGGTTATGGGCGGCGGTATAAATGATGAAATATTCCAATCAAAAGAATCTAATGCGATTTTGCTATCGATCTCTCGGGTAATTCTCCCAAGGCTATTTCTACATACATATTCAAACACGAAAGTTAAAGCCACACTAGTGGTGACCGTTATGTGAAATGAATAAAAAAAAAAGTTAAGCAATTGTTGATTGTATTAAATAAATTAAAGCGATTGTATAACACGTTAAAAAAAAAAAAGGAAAAAGTAGAAAATAATATGTAAGTTCATATTTATGGCTTATTTACAACCATTAAAACACAAGAAATGTTTTGAGACTTTTTTTCTCCAGAATATCAGTTTACAACTATTCCCTATAGTTTTTTAAAAAGTTATATTTGCTAATTATTAATATATAAAAAATATATATGTGTTTGTATCTTTTCATACATATATATACATAAATATATATATACATATATATATGTATTCAAATATATATATATATATATATATATATATATATATATGAGTATATAGGCATCTTACAATCCTAAGTATACACATATTTATATATATACGCATATGTATATAAACATTATTTGTTTTTTTTTTAATCTATAAATACTACACAATATTTTAAGAGTTTTGCTTGTCATTATGTCTTAAAATTGGAGTTATACATTTAATATTGTTAATATTGTTGTTTCTTTTTAAAGTATAAAAATTACACACAAATACACATTTAAGCTTCTTTTTTTTTTTTTCTTTTATGTAATATTAAAAAAAAATTATTTGCATTTTTTCGGCTTGTCAATAACTCACTAATTAACAATTTTTTTTTTTTTTCTTTTCGTTCGCTTTTTATTAGTAGAATTCTCTGTTTTGCTTGTATTAGTTTGAATAGGGGCTTTTTGAATTTTTGTTTTTTGTTTATCTATTTATCATTAAAAGCAGAAACAAGTGCTTTTCTTTCTTTATTTTTATTTTGAATTCATTTTTAATAATTTAATTTTTAGTATATAAAAAATATGTTATTGAGAATGTAAAGATTTTTTTTCGTTTTATATTTATAATTGGAGTCTTCTACATTAAAGTCCTTTATAAGTCTTCTCACTGATTGCCAAAAATGTTGATTTTAAAATTACGATTTTTTTTATCGTTTTTTTTTTTTTCCTTTCTTTTTTGCTATATTAAAATTTCGAATTTTTCGGTTTTAGTTTTTCTTTTCTTTTTTTCTTTTTTGTTTTCATATTCGTTTTTTTCTTTTCAGACGCAAGGAATATAATGAAATCTAAATTCGTTTAATACCAAACAGAGATAAGATATATTTGATTATGAAATTAAAAAATTTGGGGGCGAGTTGGACAATTATTTCATTTTTTGCTGTCTCTCGTTCGATTAAAAAATTGAACATTTAAAATTTTGGCCCAAAAGTAAAGCTGTTTGATCATCTATAAAAACTGGGAGTAAAATTCTAACTCGTATGAGGTTATTTTGATAAAATTTATCAAAAATTTGTGTAACGTAATTTTTTCCTCGGGAGCTGATAAATAGACGCAGTTACTGCAGGAGGAAGGAACAAATTTCATTAGACATTGATGCGGCCATTCTTGGCTGCTTCTAGCACTTTGTCACGCTTGGCAAAATATATTTTTTAAATTCTAACAGCCAACGATTAATGGTAGTTTTTCAAATTACAATTTTCGTCATTTAATAATCAGATATATAACACAAATGTCTGTGGGCTTTAGACGTGTGATCGTCGACGAAATAAAAATAAATAAAATTCAGAATGATTTCAAAAACTAATATTTCGATATGACACAATAGTCACCACCATCTTACATTATATTCTCCAAATAGGATCCATCTTTTTTTCTTGGCTCTTTAAGTAGCCGTATGCTGATCTAATCGCATTTGTAAACAAAAAAAAAAAAAATAATTGAAAAGACGTTATAAACGAATTTAGATTCTCTTCTGTACTTCTTGCTTTTAATATTTTTTTTTCATCAAAATTTGTAATAAAAAAAAAAAAAAAAAATACAAAAAAAAGTAAATTAATTTAACAGACGCTTTTATTACCACTTTTTCTTTTGTAGATTTGTTTAAAAAAAAAAAAAAATTAACAAAATTACTTTATATACCGTTTGTGAAAAAAAAAACCTATATACAGCTTTTTACGAAAAAAAGCCATATATCATTAAGAAAATATTTAATAAGAACATTAACACAATAAAAAAAACTTGCAAGAAGAAAAAAATATAAAAATTAATTTTTAATTGAAAAAAATTGAATAAATTAATTAATTATTAAGATACAAAATTAACGCACAAAAATATTTTTAAAAAATCAAATACAAAATTATTATATGCGAGTATAAAAGTCGAACATATATTTAAAAGATTGTTCTTGGGATTTTCGTAAGCATATTTAGAAGCAAACACATTATAAATCTTAAAATAAAGTAAAAACAAAAGCGACAAAAACAGTTTAAAAAAAAGTATAACAAATTCGAAAAGTAAGCAAATCTTTTTACTAACTATATAAAAAATGCGAATTAAAAAACAAATAAATAAAAAGTAAACGCGTACAAAAACAAACAAAAAGCATACTCATATATACTATAAAATGAAGAACATTACTTAAAAAAAAAAAAAGAGAAAGAAAAGTGAATAAATTTTTTTTTTTTTTTTTTTTTTTTTTTTTTTAACAAAATTGAGCTCAACAGTAGAGAGAAAAAGTAAAAAGTAAATACTCTTCACATATTGTTATTATTAATCAACATAATCGTGAAGATGGCGAGATATATAAAATATTGAGAAAGAAAGAAGCAAACAAAAAACAGTTATATATGTTACGAATAACAAATTAACTCCTTTCTGTCTTGCTTTCAGTTTGCCTTAACGCTAAAGATAACCTCTATGGTTACGAAAAACTGTATATGTGATAAATTTTTAAATTAAATAAGTACCTTAATATTACGACATACAATAAAAACAAAAACAATTCTTTTTTCTTTTTTTTTTTTCATTATAGACTTACGCTTACAAAAATAGAGACTTTTCATAGGCAGAGATTACTTGGTGAACATTTTAATAACTTAAAGAGAGCATTCATTCATTCTTCTTGGTTACTGGTGTTTTTTTTCTTTTGTTTTTTTTTTTAATAAATATAAAAATTAAAAAAAATTCGTTTTTTTTTTTTTTCTTTTTTAATAAAATTCGCGCCATAAATAGTGCTCAGTCAAAACGTACGTTTTAGTGGGAAAAAAAAATGTGTTACTCTATATATACATATACGTGTATATATATGTATATACCTTTAGATAAAATTATAGAGAAAAAGTAATATAAATAACATTTTTTCGACTCGATTACCGTTAACTTTCTCAAGAGTGTTTTTTTTTTTTTTTTTTTTTCTTTTTTAACCAGGTCTAAACAACAAATATAAATATTTATTATAAATAAGTTTATGATAAAAAAAAAAGAAGAAATAAAATGAACAAAAGAAACAAAAATAAGAAAGTGGAAAAAAATTTCTATAATAATAAAAAAAAAATCAAACAAATGCGACAATTCTCCATAGTTTAGTTTACAAACCAATAGGTGGTACTTGCACGTAACGATAAATGTAAAGGCGATAGTCCTTGCTGGCCAATACCACGCTTCCGTCATCCATTAGAGCAACATCAAAGCATTGAGCATGTTTCACTTTCGACTCCAAGGCCGAAACCAATTGACCATCTTGGGTGAATATCGTTAAATTGAAATTGTTATGATTGTCGGCGATTAAAATTTCACCGTTAGCGTTAATTCCAACGCCAATAGGATAATTGGTGATGCCTTCACCGCCAATCTGCCGTAAATACTGACCATCATAATTGAACACTTTAACGCAATGGGCTCGGTTGTCACTGATAAATATCTCCTGTTTATCGTTTACTACCACACCGTTCGGAAATTCTAAATGCTTACTGCATCCGAATTTATGCAACACATTGCCATTCTGATCAAAGATAATAACACGCATCACCTTACATTCAACTACAATAATACGGCCCTTATTATCGACTGTAACACCGCGCGGATGCTGCAATATATTGGCTCCGAATTTTCGTACAAACTGCCCATACTGATTATAGATCTGTATTTGATGTGTAGGTGATCTTTCAGTGACGATAATGTCGCCCGTGCCCCGTACAACGGCTACACGATTCGGATATAGCAGTTGAGAGTCTCGTTTTCCACACTCGCCAAATTGGAATTTGAATCGTCCTTCTTTATCAAAAATTTGTATGCGATGATTGTTCGTATCGGCCACAATAATGTCGTTCTGTGCGTTTACAGCCACACCGCTGGGCTCAGTAAATTGTCCTTCCATTACTCCAAATTCACCGAATTTGCAGTGATATATCATTTTCTGGCGTTTAATTTGCGATTTAGGAGGATATATAGAAGCCAAGTGTAATTTTGAAGTTAAATCCATTAATGAATCGGAGCTTGATACACCACTGCCCGATGTTATGTTTAAAGCATTTAAAGCACTAGGCGTTACGGCCGCCACATTTGTGGACGTTACACTAGTGCATACCGCACCTCCATTAGTTAAAGCCACAGTGTTTAACATTTGTGCACTGGTGAATGGATCGGTGGCGGAGGTAAATAAATTGTCACTTCCACCATTACTCCATTTCTCATACGGGTTAGTGACCGGTACACCTATGAATGCGGTAGCAGCGGATGAATTATTAGTGTTATTGTTAGAAGCAACAGCGGCAGCAACAGCGTAACGTTTTGTCATCAAGTCCTCAAAACTATTCGCAGTGTGAGCGTTATTCAACATACTGGAACGTCCCAATAATACATTAGCACTACCACCGTTGGTGTAAGCACCGTCTAATAAATTAGCGGGTAAACCTAAACCGCCCGGTAAATGAGAACCTCCAGTAACGCTACTATTTGATGAGCCATCGCCATGGGAAGAAGCTGAAGATATGGATTGGGTGGGTCTAGCGATAGGAGGTTGTTTTGGCATTACGCAGATAGGATCTGCTGCCGAGGCTCGTATATAGCCGAAAGTATTGCGTACACCAGCTTGTATGGACTGATAATTTGACATGAATTCCAATTCGAAGGGCATTTGCAATTCCTGAATGGCTGCTTGCAACTGCAATTCAAGATTTTTACGTAACATTAATATTTCGCTAATGCTATGTGCTTTCGGTGAACGCTCCATCGCATCACACGTTTGTAATGTCTTGTCGACCAACTCTTTAGAACGTTGTATGCATGTCGTGTATGTTGTCATTTTGGCGTTATAAAGACTCTCCAACTCTTTCACCAATTCCTGTTTTCGTTCATCGAGCATTGAGCAGAAAAATTGATAAGTCTCATTGATTTCGGTGTTGGCTCTTTGGTATTGCATTTTAATTTTGCTGCTAACCAAATCGGTGTCACCCAGCGGAGCAGTATTATCAACTAAAGTAACAATCTCTCCAACTTTTCCTCTTAAATCGGCAACAACCGTTTGCAGTACCGTTTCTGGTGAACACTGTGCGGCACCGCCATTAGATGTCAGCAAGGAACTCACACCGTTCTCCTGGACATGTTCGATTTCGTGCATACCGCTCATGTGATCTAGGGTAATGCAATCTTTACAAACTAAAGTACAACAAGTGCGGCAACTAAATTTCAACAACTCATTCTTATGGCGATGGCAATACAATGCTGTTGGCTGCGTTTGCTGTTGCTGTTGAAGATGCTGAGCGGCCATTAAGGCCTGAGCACGCATAGGTGACGGCATTAATGGGCCAAACAAATCGTCGGTGACTGTTGTCTGTGTTAGATCGGTACCAGTTATTTCATTTCCGTTGGTGTAACTAGAAGCAGCTGCTGCCGCTGCTGCTGCTGCCGCGGAACTCAATACAATTTTGGATAACTGTGACAACGGTTGTTGTGGTTGCTGCTGTTGCTTTTGTAGATGCTGTTGTTGCATCTGATGCTGCTGATGATGTTGCTGTTGGTGTTGTTGCTGCTGCTGCTGCTGCTGCTGTTGTTGTTGTTGTTGTTGTTGCTGCTGCTGCAGCATCATGGTTAATGAACTAGAAAATTTAAAATCCATAGAAACCGGATTATTAATACCAGTAGTCGTTTGATTTGTCAATGTATTTCCTCCACCACTAGTCGGTATATTTATACCCGGCTCAAATCCCTTAAATAGGTAAATATTATGACCATGAAAGCAATGCATAAACTCATGTGCTGTCACACAACTGCCACAGAGAAAACGTAAGCAATCGTAACATTTAGCTACCGCATCCGATTGCTTACTTTTACAGGCGGTACAGCGTGACCAAGCGCCGCTGGAACCATTAGTTGTTGTGATACTATTATGATTATTGTTGCCGTTGTTGCTATTACCGTTACTGCATATATTGCTGGTACCATTCAAATTAGCCAATAATGAACTGCAGGGACTGCCCTTGCCACTACCAATTATACCAGGACCTCCACTTCCGTTGCCAACGCCTACACCACCATTAACATTGCCATTACCGCCCGAATTGCTACTAACGTTGCTTGTATTACTTGAAGTACTGCCGCAACCACTTAAACCACTACTGGACGATGATGACGACGCCGACGACGAACTTGATGAAGAAGCAGTCGATGATACTGAAGCCGATATAGGATGATGTTGTCCTACAACTGTTGCACCTACCACAACCGTACTCGTGTAGTCGTCACAAATTGCCGAATCACTAACTGGCGGTGAAGAGCCACTTAATGTGAGCGGTGAATCGGACAAATAGCCATTGTGTTCAATGAATGTGGTTTCAATACCACGTATGGAATCCAGTGAAGGTGTAGGTGACGTGGCCATATCTGGTCACTTATTACCTCTTAAAGAATTTCGTCACTTTCTTGTCAATTTTTTCTTTCTCAATTCCAAGAAAAGGTTTAATAACTGCTGCTCGAAGTCTTGCGGCCAAGTGTCCTATAAATAGAGGAAAAGAATGAAGAAGCTTTATAAATGCACCTATGAAAATGTTAAGAGTAGCATATACAGCGAAGCAGAATTATAAAATATGAACGAATTAATCTATCGAATGTGGCGGGTAATAATGAAGTTTTTTTTTTTCTGTTCGTTTTATTCGCCTTTTCTGTATTCATTGTTTTTACAATGGATTTGAAATATTGTTGCATCGTTATCACCATTTGAAATACATCAAATATTTAAATTTGTTAAAGTTGCAGATGGATTTGTATTTAAACGTGTCTAAGATACCCGCCTAACATACAGAGAATTCATCAAAAGTCGGCATACTTTACATTAATTTAAATTGATAAAAAAATGTTGCGCAAAATAATAAAATTGAACAAGAAAAAAGTTTCCAAAAGAAAAAAAACCGAATCAACGAGTAAAATTAACTACAATACGTTGCATTTTAAAATGATTAATAATAACAAATAAGCAAAGTCAAACTGTCAATTCAAACGACGTTTTTAATTGGTTCTCATCCCGATAGCCGACGGATTTGAAAGAAGCTACTAACAAAAATAAAAAGGAGCGGGACAATTTGGAAACCTTAAAAGCTTTATGCTGAAATTAACTCAAGGACGTGTAAATATGTGTAACTTACGATAATTTGAATTTTTTCCCATAACACTCTTACTGTTTCTTTTCAAATCATTCATTGCCTTTCCGTTCCTTGTGAACACAATCCGTATTATTAACCACCACATTAAATCAATTGCGACGAACACATGTAAATATTAGTTAGCAAAGTTTACGCGGTCTTTCTGATTATAATCATTTTTAGCTCTTGCATGCAACACAACAAGAAATCACCATTCGATATTTGCGAAATTTCTTCATACATTTCGAAATACAATTATAAGAAAAGGTAAAAGTCACTTACCAACGGAAACGATTGCAGTTTAATTGAAAATAGTCCCTTGAGATCTTTAATTGCATTAGAAAATAATTTTTCGTACCGTATGTTATTTTGTTTTAATTAGTTTTACTCGGTTTTTCCTTTTGCTGGCCTATTGTTTCTCAATTATAAACAGTTGCGTGTAAGAGATTAAAAAAAAAACAAAACAAAATAAAAAGAAGCTAAATCCGAAGTAATTTTCGTGGTATAGTTTTAGGCGTTGTGTTTCAAATGCTTTACACGTTTAAGTCTTTTTAGTTTTGCTCTAGAAATTTAAGAAAAGAAAAAAAAACACAAACCTTTAGCAATATAAGATACAATTATAAATGAAATATATAAAAATAAATAAAAAGAAGACAAAAAAACAGGTAAATTAGATTTGAGAGAAAATGATAATGATAAATCAATCATTCAAAAAAAAAAATTAATTGGGAAATTTAATTCGAAATATTTCGTGTCAATATGCCATAAAAGCGAGTTAACTAACGAAGCTATTTATTATTATATGTTCATCTAGTGTCTATATAGTAAAAGGATATGATTGCGTGGGTTCTTTACTATCCTTACAGTAGGAAAGTCGTTGTCAGACTACTTCACCATCGAATAACTATGCGCAGCAACTGCCCGGGAAAAATGACTAAGAAATGCTACTAATAAAAAAAAAAAAAAAAAAAAATGTATATATATATATATATATATATATATAGAACTGTGTGTGCGTGCATGTGTGTATGTGTGTTTGTATATATGCGCGCGTGTACAAACAAAGAAT